CTCACTTTAATTAAATAATAAAAAATAACAAATAATTATTAAAAATTATTTTCCTCATGAAATTATCTTTGGGTAAATGAGTTTTATGAGTGGGTGCAATTTTTTTTGAATTGCTTCATTAGTTTTTAAAAAATGACTGAAAACGCAAAATTAACATTAAGGGGCCCGAACTTTGAATCGCTCTCCTGACCAAACTATGGGGACCACATTTCCCAGATTGCGGCTACCCCCTATATTTTGAAGATGAAAAATCTAAATATGTAAAAAAAAATGTATGTTTATTCAGAGAAAGTACGTTTTTGTGTCTGATTTCGTAACTTAATTAATAGTTAGCACTAATTAATTAGNTTTTTTTTTTTTTTTTTTTTTTTTTTTTTTTTTTTTTTTTTTTTTTTTTTTTTTTTTTTTTTTGCGGACTGTACATTAAATCTGTCAAGTCGCAGAAGTCCTCCATGTTCCCATAACAAATCAAACCTCTGGGGGTACTGGATTGGAGATCGATCATTCTCTGATTCAGGTTAAAATTACGATCTGTGGAAGAATGAATGGATGTATTAATGGGTCCGCCCTATAAAAAGCAGGTGTGAAGTTTGGTGTGGCAGAATTCGTATTCTTGACCATAGATGGCACCACTGAAAAAAAGAAGCGCAAACTTTGCCTTAAATTTACTCGGTGTTACCAAGTAGGCTTGCGCGCGTGGCAAGTGGCATTAGAACCAATCAACCAACCAAACATGCATCTCATTGCATAAAAAAAGATACTCGCTGGGACGGCATAAGCCTGATCTGATCTGTAGGGCCACGAAGAAGAAGAATTTTACAGTACAGTGTCTAGGATTAGAAATATAATGTTTAAAGTACCGTATTTTCTTGTATTCAAAAAAAATATATACGCATTATCACAAGGACGCATTAGCACAATCATACTTAATCTTTGACTATAGCTTTACATTTTCATCTCTATCATTGAATTAGCGCAAGAAGATTATTATTATTTAGGATAATTTTCATTTTTGAAACGAAAACATTTTAAAATAGTTAAATAAAATGTTTAAATAATATAATAGCATACTTACTAAGAACATGTTTTGTTGCATTTTCGTAGTATATATGTTGCGGTGTGTTGGTAGTATATATGTTCTAGAAGAAAAATACTTTTACAATATTTCAAATAAAAGTGGAGCTACTTTAATTCAGTGATAAATATACTGATTTTGGCTCTTAGAAAAACAAAAGAAATCTTTAAACAAAATAGAAATATTAAAAGTTTCTAAACTTTCGCAATGTCTAAAAATAGTAAATTGACTCAGAAAAAAAAACAAAAAATATATATAATATCTAGTTAGAGTAATATAGTAATTATAACAATCTTATAATATTATATCAGCATATTAAAATCAAGTGCTAACTGGACGGGCTAATTTTCTCAACTTAAACGTTACAACGAAAACGTTTTAAATGATTTAAAGTGACATGAAGTAGAACATATTGCGATGCCTTCTGTTTTTATTAATAAGTGAGAGATAGAATGCTCTTTTAAGCAGCAAAAAATCTCATTCTTGATCTCCAAATTACACTTGAATAAATAACTGTACATTTTACAGAAGAAAAATACATTTTCCTCAGAAAAAAAAAACTTTTTAAGGAAAAATAGAGACTTTTACCTGGTATTTAAGCACAGTAAAAAATTTCCCCTTTTTTTGCAGATTTAGTACGTTTGACGGTCTAAAGCTGTTTTGTTGAGAAAACGGTTTTTCTCTGTTTTTTCTTCCTTATCATAGACGGATTAAAACAATCAGTTCAAATTCTAATTTTTGCCATGCAGCTTCGCTTACCGTACAATAACTCTATTTTTTTTAAAATCATTTTACGATTATTTACTATACTTGCTCCTATTTTCCATCTAAAATTTATGATTTTGAACATCGTACATATGAAACTACGCATCGATTTTATTTTTAAACTGATACTGTACATGATGATTACATTTCTTTAGATATACTTTTTTTAGTTAAGTTTAGCTCAACTTGCCAGACATTATCATACGGTGCCCCAGTATAGTTCTAAGCGTTTTTACACTTAAATTTTATTTCAATTAAGTAAGACTTCGAAAATAAAAACAGGTTAAGATTTTTCTTTATACTGAGTCGGTAGCTCAAAAAGGCAAAGCACTCAACACTCAATGAGCTGACCCATATTTGAATTCCAACGTCGATTGGTCGAACGAATGCTGCTGCATCGATCACAATGCTGAGAAATTTATTTTATAGAATTGTCTGTTAACCCTTAACGATCGGTTAATTTCCAAGAAAACTGTCATAAAAGTGTGTTTTTTTTATCCCCGCATCCTTGATTGGTGCTGACATCTAGTTTAAAATAACTTAACTATCAACAATTACCTTAAAAATATCCTGGTACTGCCATCAGGTGTGTAAAATGAGAAATAAAGTGTTTTCTGGACAAAAGAAATGAATTATTTTATTCTTATAGGCACGTTACCACTGAACACTCCTGCCCGGAAATATCACGGGAGGGAGAAATGGAGGGCGAAACCTCCCCCCGTCATTTTCAAGGGAGCGAGAAGGAAGGAGTTAAAATTTACAGAATTTGTTTGTTCAAATACGAGTAATTATCTACTTAAACAGGTGTTTGCAGTTATTTTTTTTACTACTTTACAGTGTACAAAAAAAATCTGAAAGCTTTTTGAATAAGAGTACAAAGTGTTTGAGTAATTTCTTTGTTTTTAAAATAGTTAAGAAGATTTTTTAACAGACATATATAAAAATGACTGTGGCTTAAATGACCCGAAACACTCAATATGTAAGTTTCTTACGACATAAACACAAAATTAGTTTTTTCAATGATAGAAGAATAAATCTGTAAGCTATGAACTTATTGGAATATATATACATTTCCTTTAAAATTAAGTATCCTGATATTTCCATTAAAATAATGTATCAATAATTTCAATATTTAACTCTGTTATTATATTGCATNAGTATTGCAGAATTAACTAAGAAATTTGATACATTCATTACAAGGAGTAGATCTCAAGATAAATCTGTAACAGCTCGAGACCGTAGCCGTTCGAGATCCCAATCTTCTCGTTATAAGTTATGTTGGTACCATTTTAAATTTGGAAACAAGGCACATCGCTGTGTTAAACCTTGCCAATTTCAAAAACCAACAAATACTTCGGAAAACTAACGGGCCAGTCGATTGAAGAGGCCAACGACTACGGCCATCCAAATTGCCGCCTCTTTCTTTTTGACAAGTCAAGCAAAAGGCACTATCTTATTGACACCAGGGGTACCTTTTCATAGATGACGGTTGTGGTGCGCAAGAGCAATAACATAACAAGCATTTATATTTTAGTTTTATGAAAAATAAAAACAACGTTGCTAAGACAACTCAATAATAATAATTACTATATTGACGTTCCAGACATTGGGATGTAAAAGTATTAATGGATTTATATATTTTATATTAACTTGTAAATAACTGTGTATATTAAATGTTGTGATGTCTCCAATTTACTTCGTTTTTATTTATCCAAAATCGCACATAGTAGGAAGATAGAAAACCTTCCCTTACAAATGTATCAATAATTTCAATATTTAACTCTGTTATTATATTGCATTGAAATAATAGCAAACATTCGCTATTTTAATAATTAACTTTAAAATTTGAAGAATTTTTCTGAAAAATAAGATCATTTATATGAATTAAAATATGTAAATAGTAAGTAATTTTTTTTCATCATTATAAAAGTTACTGAAAGTGATTAGGTAGAAACTAAAGTCCCTTTTATTTCTTTAATCTCTTTAATTATTCCATTGTAACTACCACCATGACTTACACTGCAAATTATACATATTTAGAACGAAAAGATTCCTTGCATTCACTTTTAATAGTAAACTGAAAGAAATGTGAAGAAAAAGAAGCTAATTTTAATCTCTTTTAATAGATTTTTGCTTTTTATTTCACCACTTCTGAGATTGTTAGTCACCAGTGGCATCCATATTATAAGAAAAATATTTTTCTAAGTTAGATATTTTTTTAACAAATATCAGTTTTTTATATTTTTTTTAAAAAAAAATTAGTTTTATAAAAAAATTGCAATTTTAAAGTCTGTCTTTATATGTCTGTTTTTTAATATGTCAATATGACAATAAAACTTTAATAGAATCTAAAGATAGAATAGAAGATTTAGTTTTATTTTTACTGCTTCCTTTCATAATTTTTAAAGTTAGGAGCTTAAGTAAAAAATAATCTTTTAAGCACCCTGACTCCTAAATTTTCCTATTTTGGTTCCTTTGAATGAAAATACCATTATACAGAAGTATAAAAATGCTCAAAACGCAGCAGGCTGTAGCAAAACAAATTTATTATTCATTCGCATTCTAAAGTTTTTGCTTTTATCGGAATATAGTATTAAATTTCCAGGCTTATATTTCGATCTAATATCATTGTATTTTAAACCTACTTTTCAATGGAAGGCAGCTAAAAGGTGGAAAAAGCATTCATTTAGTTTCAATTTAAACTGAATTTCGCTTTTTACTCGTTTTTAATCTGATTATGATGAAAGCTTAACTTTAAAAGGATTTGTCAGGGTTCGAAGAATAGATAACTGATTTCTGACGTCTACTGTGACACAAGCTGGTGTCTAAGCGACTGCTGCTTTTTTATGCTACTTTCTGCTAGTAGCGCATACATAAATTATTTACAGCAGTAAAAATTTTCGTTAGTTTGAGACCCATTGACGTCAGGCTAAATGCGGCAGGATTTCAGGGATTACGTTTTATGTAATTTAAATTTATTTTAGTTTCACTCTATTACAGCAATCACCAAACTATTGATCCATACGGACCACCAAGCCGAAAAAATTCTCTATCTCGTGAACCACCGCCTCTTTTTTCAGAAGGAGGAGAAAAGTTCCTCAATTGATTTTATTTTAGTTTCACTCTGTAATTTATTTTATAGTCTCACTCCATAACAGCAATCACCAATCTTTTGATTCGNTAATATCATTGTATTTTAAACCTACTTTTCGATCGAAGGCAGCTAAAAGGTAAGGTATTCATTTAGTTTCAATTTAAACTGAATTTCACTTTTTACTCGTTTTTAATCTGATTATGATGAAAGCTTAACTTTAAAAGGATTTGTCAGGGATCGAAAAATAGATAACTGGCTTTTGACGTCTGTGACACAAGCTGGTGTCTAAGCAACTGCTGCTTTTTATGCTACTTTCTGCTAGTAGCGCATACGTAAATTAATTACAGCAGTAAAAATGTTCGTTAGTTTGAGACCAATCGACGTCAGGCTAAATGCGGCAGGACTTCGGGGATTACCTTTTATGTAATTTAAATTTATTTTAGTTTCACTCTATTACAGCGATCACCAATCTATTGATCCATACGGACCACCAAGCCAAAATAATTCTATCACGTGAACCACCACCTCTCCTTTCGGAGGGAAGAGAAAAGTTCCTCAATTGATTTTATTTTTGTTTCACTCTATAATTTATTTCAGTTTCTTGCTATAACAGCAATCACCAATCTTTTGATGATCCTCACTGCCAACCAAGTTGGAATAATTTTATCTCGTGGCCACAGCCTCTTTTTTCAGAAGACGGAGAAAAGTTTCTCAGTTGGTTTTATTTTAGTTTCACTCTATAACAGCAATCATCAATCTTGATCCTCACGGACCACCACCCCTTTTCTTTTTTTTTTGGAAAGAGGAGAAAAGTTTCCCAATTGATTAGTGTAGGATCTAAAATATCTCCATGCAAAACAAAATTGACTTTTTTTTTTAAATTTGATTTAATTAAAAAGTTATTCAAGATGGCCAGTTTTCAAATAATCACTCTGTACATTTCAAATGAAATTTTTCTTTAACATGATGATCAAGGTTGAGAAAAAAAAAAGTAAATAGATGAAAATTAAAGTTTACTAAACAGTTACAGAAAGAGTAATAACATCCAATCAGTGCAACTTCACTATTTCGTATAGATGGGAAGGTCAAAAATTTGATTAACTCTGCCAAAGTGTGAAACTAGAATAAACTAATCTTTTAGAGCCACTTTGAAAGATTAGTATTTAGTTTTATTTTAAATATAAATCGCGAAAGCAAGTTTGCTCTGTTAGGCGGCCCAAAATATACCCTATACGTTCAGTTGCACATGTTCATTTAACACTTGTTCCTTTCAGTACTTATCAGTTGTTACCTACATTGTTACCTACAGTACTTATGAGTTGTTGCATGTACTTTTATGTTCAGTTAAATACTACTAAAGTTGAAGGTTAAGGCTATTGCTTAAAATCCACTAATTGAATAGGCGGTAAATCAAAAGCTATGCAAATAAATTATTATCCAGTTAAAAAAAGAATTAAGTGAACAATGAAATTTGAACCGATCTATAAAGTAAAAATAGATATATTGATCGATATATCGTAGTGTTTTAGTAATGTAATGCTAAAACTTTTGAAAACGCTAAAAGCATTTTTTTAAATATTATAAATAAACTGCTTTTAAAATATTATTGAATTCAATACTTTCTAAATATTTAAAGGTTTAAAATTTTTATGCTTTGATCGTAAAAAAAAGATATAGTAAATAAAGATACACTTACAAATTCTTAATTCCTGTTCCAGTGTTGGCGTATAACGTGTTCTGTCTGGCTTTAAAGCCAATTCTGTTGCCAACCTGAATATTTCACCTTTGACACGATTTTCGATAAGATAATTTATTCGAGTGTTTATACAGAAAAAGAGACCATTTTTTGTTCAACACTTCGTTAATGCTTGTAGCTTTGACCTTTGGAGAATCTAACGAATTCATAACAACATTTTACGCCTGTATATTAAGGAAGAGAGATTTGGTTTTTCCATTAATAATTTGTAAATAAAAAACCGCATTTACGTCAGACGTATGTAATACACCATTCTTTTAATATCTAATGTAAATTCAGGTTAAAGCTTAAACGAATTTTATGTAATACTCAAATATTTTATTATTGAAGTTATTGTTCTGAAACCCTAATTAAAGTTTCAAATACATAATTAGAATTTTCAACCATCTAGAGCTGCATGTATTATCAGTTTGTTGAATGTACTTTACTTTGTAGCCGGCGTTGAACAGCAGACCCAATTCCGAGTAATGACTTTCAATGTTCAATTCCGCGTTCAATGTTGCGTGCTCTGCATTCAGTATTCAATTTCGTTAGCACCATAGTTAGAATTTTAAACCATCTAGAGCTGCTTGTATTATCAGTTTGTTGAATGTATTTTACTTTGTAGCCGGCGTTGAACAGCCGACCCAATTATGGGTTTACTGCTACTAAAGTTAAACTCCGTAGCCTTGTAATTTTGAACCCAATCCAAAGGAACTTTGGAAACTAGGAAAGGGCAAAGGAACTCTTATATCGAGTATTGGAGAAATTTGCTTTCGTGGAGGATTTTTTGTTGGAGCTAACCGCATTTGTGTGACATGAGAGGAAGACCACGAGAACCTCCCACGGTTAGCCTGACGGCAAGGGGACTCTAACCCATGATTCGTCCACCACTGAGGATATTTCATGTCAGTACTGTGGTCAATGCAAGTCGGATGCGGAATTCGTATCGACTGGGATTCGAACCCGATTCGCATTGGAAGGCGAACGCTCTATCCCCTGAACCATCGCGTCTCCTGTTGAATGCTGTTGTTGTTGTTGTGGTTCATGTACGTCGCACTAGAGCTGCACAATGGGCTATTGGCTACGGTCTGGGAAGCATGCCTGAGGATGATCCGAAGACATGCCATAACAATTTTGATCCACTGCAGAGGGGATGGCACCCCCGCTTCGGTAGCCCAACGACCTGCACACAAAGTCGAGCACTTTACGGTAGCACAGTTTAAACGAGGACCAATACCGCACACCCTCGGTCCTTACGCAGACTGATACAAGTGGGTCACCCACCCACACACTGACCGCAGTCAGTGATGCTTGACTTCGGTGATCTGCTGGGAACCGTGTCTTAACGATAAGTCCGCTGCGGGACCCTGTTGAATGCATTATCGACGTGTATTATCAGTTTCTACCATTCAGACTGCAAGCATTCTATGAATAATGTTTCTTAATATTTAAAAATCATAATAGCCACCGTCGCTGTTTCTGGTGTTCAACTATACGTTACTTTTGTATAGTTTAGTTAACTTTGCACATCAAAAAAATTATATATATTCTGGAAAATAATTATCCTACTAGTATATGGTAAAGACATTTCTAGTTAAAAGTAAACGAGCTTTCGGTTAATTAAACCAAAATATACGGCATTTAATCCATTTGTTTCTTAATTTTTCCGTTCATATGGAAACTGATTTAGCGGAAATTCTAGTTTTCAAATTTATAGTTCTCATTATCACGCATTTAATAAAAATACAAAACTAAAAGTTTAAGTAATTGAAAAGTGGTCGTCACGTCATACTCAGGTAGAATCACGCTAAAATTACCATAATGTTCCTCAGATTTGTCATTCATTTTAACATTTATTTGGTGGTTGTAACATTTGGATGTTCGTGCATTTTACCAAATATAATGGTAATACCCCTTATAGCCTGTTTACTCTTCTATGATGTATTTAAAAAGATAGTTAACTTAAATGGTTGGTGGTAAGGGGATGGTTAATTATTTAGTTTTCTAATATATTTCTCAGTTACGAGAGGATAAATAGGCCTGAATGAAACTTCGAAATGTTTTGACGATACTAAATTCGGATTCTGCGATGTCTCTTTTACGCATATTTTTCTTCTTCTTTGACACTACAACCAATTACCGACCAAGGTTGTCTCAGTCGGTTTACCTCTTCTAGATCTATCCAATGCTATAGTTCACAATCTGTAACTCCCAAGTCTTTTAAACATTTCTCTACTCTATCTAACCATCTTGTTCTAGGTCTTCCTGAGAGCTATGCCGGCGGGAGCTTCGGTTCCTTATAGGGATACCCTAGTCGGACAGGTCAAAGGGGAGACCCCAGACGAAGAGGAACACCCTGACCTTCTAGGTTAGGGATTACGCGAGAAGTTAGCTACCCCAACACGAGAAGAAACTACCGTTCAGAAATTTGAATCACACCTAGGCGACCTGGACAGAATTGCATAAAATTACAAAAATCATTGGTTTTCATTCAAAATATAACCCTATTTGATATTTATGTGTGGGAAAAATATTTCCCTGCTCTTCGGCGACTGCTCACTCTCACCAAACTGATGTTTTAAAAGAAAAGCTTGATATACTATTATACACTATTTGTTGATAAATACACTATTTGTTGCTATTTTGCACGCCAGATTGTAACATTTTTTATTACAGAAAAAACTCTTTTTTTTCTATCTTTCTTTTAAAAACTTAGTGTTCAAACTGAAATTCAAAATTGGAACTAAACAAATTTTTGATATTTTTACTAATAATATGCTTTTGGAGAGGGGAACACTTGGAATCACTTTGGACAACTAATTGAGAACCACTGTCATAAGGTTAGCATATGCGATAAAATGCATTCAAATATGTATTCAAAATATGTATTTTTTTGCGAAGGTAAAATCTGATATTTTTATTTCTTTTACTAAAATCTTACACATTTTAGGAAGAAATATCCATTTTAATGAATATCAAAAAATATGAACTCAGAATTTTTAAGAAGTAATTTTCATTCCAAACAATACTACGTTAAGAGCATGCAACTAAAAATAGAGGGCATTTCTCGAATTTTTGGTAATTTTTTCAAATGAAAAATTCACTTTGAACTCGCTTTAGATTACAAGCAAAGCGTCAAATTTTTCAAATATACCCATATTTGTAACGAAGTAAATACTAAAATACTTTTAAAAAGAATTTGTTTAGTTCAATCCATGCTACATCATCACTACTAAGAGTTTATCAGTGTGGTTGAACTCTCAACCATACTGAGGAAGTGGGGTGTAGCACTCATCCTATAGACGAGAGGTGGTCGATCCGTAGTGGGATGAATCGCTCATCCCATAGAACTATAGTAAGGGAGGTCACTAAGCGTTAAAGTATGGTGCAGCGCTCTTTTTTCCCCTACTGGGAAAGATGGATCTAATAGTTTGGTCAAGAGAGCGGTTGAAAGTTTGGACCTCTTAATGTTAATTTTACTTAATGCGTATTTTGCCATGTCACGAGAATTTTTTTAAGCGAATTGAAGAAATTTTGCACGCAATTATAAATATCGTTTATCCAAAAATAATTTAAGCCAGAAAATAATTTGCAGCATATTTTTTTTTGCTATTTTTTTTAATAATTTTTTAGTAACAGTCGAAAACATTTTTCAGTTGAAGGGTAAACAAATTTTTACATCATTTTAAAGAATGTAATTTACATAGGAAAATACCAATTTTTTACAGAATTCGTATAATAGTTCCAAAAATATGGAATTCTGTCAAAGTCAGATTTTTGAAATTCGATTTCTCAGGAACTATTAGACCAATTCCGTTTAAATTTCGTATTTTTCCATATAAAATTACATTTTTTGAAATTATGTAAAAGTTTGTATACCATGCAATTCACAAATTATTCAGTTATTACTAAATAAAATAATAAAAAATAATAAATGATTATTTAAAAATATTTTTAGCATTGAATTCATTTTTTCTAGACGAATTATATAATTTTTTGCAAAACTTTGATTGTCGATTGATTAGACTTGAATTCGAAACTGTCAATTCAGTAGCCCCCTCGAACCATTAAGATTAAATCCTAGCAGAAGAGAATCCAATCATTAGATCAAAAGTTATTCAAGGAGTTTCAATGATTTTTTTTCACCTACTATACATACTTTAGCCGAAAGAGCTAATCAGATAATCGCATTACCGCCTGAACGGAGATTCAAATCCCAACGTTGACACCGCAATATTTCTTTACTTCATTCAATGCATGAGGATTTTCCAGTGTCCTGCTTTCCTCAATTGATGACTCTGCTCTTTTGGAATACGAAACTCTCATTCTAGCCTAGATGGCAGCACGGCTGGGCTGCTTAGCAAAACAAAACAAAATCTGGTTTTTTCCTCTCTCCAGATGGCACCAATAGATTGTTAAATCACATTCCGTAATTCTCTTGGCAAAACACAAGTCAACTCAACCACAAACTAACTTCACTGTCCACTAACCAACGAAAAGCCATGCAAACATAGCCTAACTCCAAAAACTAGTAAAACTATTTTTACAGTTTTGAAACCATGCCAGTTGTAAATGGTTACAAAACCATCAAGTTTTGTATCCACGGTTTTTTAACCATACAAGTTGTTAACGGTTTGGAACCTAAGAAGTTGAGGAAATTCTCCTAACTATAGACTATATAGTTAATTGGATGGACAGACCGTTGCCGGTGACTTTACCGTAATTTTGGAATGAAAATTTTAATCGTGAGTTTATATATAAATCTGTGTGCAGTGTCCTGAAGGATACATATTTTACTAAAGAACATTTATTTTCCCCACATTTCAGTATAACTATTGGGAGTACAAATTAGTTCAGTCATTTTTTGTGTGGTCAAAAATGCATTTAATTCAGAACAAAATGAATGAACAGATTAATAAAAGTATTTTCATCGCTGGCTACTACTTTTTCCCACCTCTCAGGCAATTTTCGAATTCCATCTCGAAAAAATTTCTCGTCTTTTGAGGCGATCCAGGTTAGGAGCCAATTTTCAATTTCTGCGGAAGAAGTGAACTGGTGACCTGCCAAATCATGCTGTTTCCATCAAAATAACCAGTAATCAGAAGGAGCAATGTCCAGCTAATACAGTGGGTGGGGTAAAATATCCCACTTGAGCGTTTCGAAATAATTTCTTACGACTTTTGAGACATCAGGCAGACTGAGAAGAATAACTTTGTCATGTCTTTGCTCGTATACCAGTCTTTTTTCTCGTAATGCACTGCTCAAATTAATCAATTGTAGCCTATACCGATCGCCCGTAATGGAATCACCAGGTTGTAGCAGCTCATAGTATACAAAACTATTCACCATTCTTCAAACGTCGCAACCATTCCCTACATGATTTATCAGTTGGAGCATTGTCACCATAAACCTCTACAAGCATTCGATGCGCTTCAGCTGCACTTTTCTTCCAATTAACATAACAACATAAAGCCTCCTGCAAATGGTGCTTCGTTACCACAAAATTTGACATATTCAGCAAAGTAAAAAACAGGGTTTTTGTATGAAACTCAAAGCGATATAAACTGAATATTATTGACAGATGTTTAACCTCTCTTAAACCACCGAAACAAGCTGTCACTATATAACATTCATAACAGCAGAGCCATCTTTTAGAAACGGATCGAACTAATTTGTACTCTCAATATATAAATTGTAAGGATGCTCTTTTTAAACCACGTTTACAAACGAAATTGCGTTATAAAAAATATCACACATTAAATACACGAAAGAAAATATTTAAAAACACATGGAAAAAAAATCTTTATATTCGTACCTAATAGTGATTACCTGAATTTAATATGCTTTACTTATTTACTTTCATTTGATGAATATTTTACAATTATATCATATACCATTTTTTTTACATATCGTGTACCTTTTAAAATATTTCCAAAACTAAATTCGCCCATTAAGAAATTAAAATCATTAAATTCAAATACAAGTAATAAAGTAAAAATGAAAAAAGTCGAAATCCTTAGCGCATTAATATCAATCATTACTATTTTTATCAAGAATTTTAAAGTTCAAGTATTTCACTTTTTTTTCATTACATCTAATAAAAATTCTTAAAGAGTATCTGGATAATACTAAAAGCATATAATATTACAGGAATCTCTTCCTGTTTTATCATCGTAATTTATTTGAGTACTACCATTACCACAGTCACGCATACCCATAAGCTTTCACCCAAATATTAATTTTAGGCCGGAGATATTTTATGGGACACTGTTTTCTGGAGGAATTTTTGGAGCAAACCTTTTTTTTCAATAAGAATATTTTTATTATCACACCTCGCGTATTGTGGAACGTGTAGAGTACTTAACATTTTCAAGCACGTTTTTGTCTAATTGCAGATGTAATTCTTTCCCCAAGAAACGCATGTTTTATTATTCTACTCAGATAGCTCGAAACATAGTAACTGCTATGATTCCATAAGTATAAACGTTCGTAAAATGATGATCATCATTTATTTTTATGATGCTACTACTATCGGAACTTAATATTTATTAATGTCCTTTCATCGTGTCTACTCACGAATTTGTTTTATTGGGATGCGGGAAGCAATTTTTCTTTATAGCAATAGTTTGTTCATGTAAAATTATTTATTCTATTTCTTTATAGATTTTGTTCACAATATCGATTAAAGAAAAAAATAAAATTCCTATCGTATTCAAATAGCATGTCTTAAAATATTACTGAGCATTATGTTGTGCAAAGTTTTAATAATACATTAGAGAGCTGATTATCCAGAGCAATCGGAACCAAAGCCGATCCGGATAATGGAAAATCCGGATAATTAAGCAACTTTAAATAACGACTATGAGAATGTTTTTAAGTAGCTTCCTCTTAGTTTAAAGTTTTAATAATGTGTTTAGTTTTAAAATTTCAATAATAGAGTATTGCTCCGATTATCCGGACCAATCGAGACCAAACCCGATCCGGATAACGGAAAATCCGGATAATTAGGCAACTTTAAATAACGGCTATGAGAATGTTTTTAAGTAACTTCCTTCCGTGCTTTTTTCCGACTTAGTATTAGTAATTGCAATAGTGCCTATATATAGCATATTACAAATAACGTGCTTAAAAGTTTAATTTTTAAAAATTTTATTGGGAACTTGTTCCGTTATTAAAAACTACTTGCCACCCACATTGAAACTGGGAGGAAAAAGCATGAGTTTATTTTCAAGATCACCGAGGGATAAAATAAGCCTTTTTTTTTTATCTCTTTCAGACATTTTGAAAATAAAGACACACTTTCGCGATTATTTATTTATTTATTTTGATGGTGGGAAGAACACACGATCCTTAATAGATCCGGATAATTGGACAATCCGGTAAATGCACATTCGGTTAATCGGTGCTGTACTGTATTTCTAAAAAATATCATGTGAGATGAAAGGTTAAAAATTATTACGGAATCTCTTATATATTTTGCATTATATACTAATATACACTGTAAAAAAGTATAACTGGAAACTTTCCATAAGAGCTACGGGGACTTAGTGCTTCAGCATTTTTTTTTTGTAAATTTAATGTCTGCTGAACAAATTTATGGTAGGAAAAAAAATGAATAAGGAAGAGTAAAGAAACATAGTCCTCAACACAGGATGTAAAACCGGGGAACCTGTTTAAGAAGTTAACACACTAATCCCTTTGACACACTAGTCCCTTAATCACTCTGGCAGGTGTAATATAGGTAGTTTTAAAAATCTGATAAAATGTATGAAGAACTTAGTCATGGTGTTCATATCTAATGAGAAGATATTATCTATTTTGCTATTAATCTAGGTTTTTTCCCCCATATTACGTAAAAGTTCAATTAAACGGTATAAAATGTTTTTCCCTGTATTTATTGCAAAAGTGCTTTGAATTTTTTACAGTGATACAGTAGTTAATTTAAAAATTAACTCTCTTGGAGATTTAAAAAAAAGTAAACCGAACGATATAGTGAAAGCCGTAAAAATGTTACTCTTGTTTTCGAAATTAAAATTTAATAATATTTTATAATTTGCTGACTACTTTTCTTATTTTTTATCAACTTCTGTTGCTATTTTTTGGGTTGCCAACTTTACTGGAAACCTACGTAACTGATTTAATTTGTTTGCAACTTTTGCATCTGATATAAATTATTGGCAATCTATGTAATTGATTTAGTTTGTAACCCTTGTAACAATTAAATTTATTACTAAACTTTCTACTTTATTTAATTTGTGGGTAGCTTTCGTTACTAATTTAATGGTGCCTTGATACAAGAAAAATTTTATCACCTCACCAAATGGTAAGAAAAATAGCTATTTTATACAATAACTTTGTTAACGAGAAATTCATTTATGTCTAAGATGCTACTGCCCTATGGAACATTAAAGATGAAAATTTTACTTGAAAACCATTAGCGTCTCGGCTATCTTGACGATCAGTTATATAAATAAGTCATGGGCTAAGAATTTGCAATTTAGTACTTACAGCTTTTTTTCCAATTATTGTAATGCTTTTTACACCAGCTCAAAATTTCAAAAGAAAGAATCACTAGGGCAAAAGCACATAAATCAAAAATTTCTTTTAAAAATTTTTTGCATACTGAATATTATGAGCCGCGATGACTCAGGAGATAGAGCATTTGCCTTACAGTAAGTCTTAATGTAAGGCGAATGCTCTATCTCCTGAGTCATCGCGACTCATGATATTCAGTATGCAAAAAAATTTTAAAAGAAATTTTCCCATTTAAAAGAAATTTGATTCGAATCCCAGTTGATACGAATTCCTGTTCGACTTATTGTAAGGCGAATGCTCTATCTCCTGAGTCATCGCGGCTCATGATATTCAGTATGCAAAAAATTTTTTCAAAGAAATTTTCCCATTTAAAAGAAATTTGATTCGAATCCCAAATGATACGAATTCCTCATCCGGCTTGCACCGACTACAGTGCTGACGTGAAATATCCTCAGTGGTAGACAGATCATGGCTTAGAGTCCCCTCCCCTCTTGCCGTCAGGCTAACCGGGGGAGGCTCTCGTGGTCTTTCTCTCCATGTAACGCAAATGCGGGTTAACTCCATCAAAAAATCCTCCACGAAGGCAAATTTCTCCCAATACTCGATCCAGAAGTTCCGTTGTCTTCTGGATTGGGTTCAAAATTACTAGGTTACGGGGTTGAACATTAGTAGTCGTAAACCCATAAAATTGGGTCGGCTGTTCAACGATGGTTATAAAATAAAGTAAAATAAAATACTGTATATCATGAACAGCGGTGACTTAGAGTAGAGGAGAGAACGTTCACCTTTCAGTGAGGTGACTCAGGTTCGAATCCCAGTGGTGGCTGGTGGATACGAGTTCTGCTCACGGCTCGCACGGACGACTGTGTAGACGTAAAATATCCTCATTGATCATGGATTTAGATCACTTTGGAATCGGTCTAACCGTGGGTAGTTTTCGTGTTTTTTTTTTTTTTTTTTTNTTTTTTTTTTTTTTTTTTTTTTTTTTTTTTTTGTCTGTATATAATGCAATGTGGATTAGTCCCCTCAAAAGTTTTTCCACGAACCTTTTGATTGTCCCAATGCGTAATCCAGGTGTTCCCTTCTCTTCCGGTTAGGGTTTCAAAATTAGAAATGCTTCGGAATTGGGTATAATATAGCCTACGTGACAGGTTGTGTTGTTCCTACTAAATTTTACCCATGAACGGCATTTTCTGCGAGCCTAACTTCAAGCCACAAATAAACAAACGAAGTGTTCGATCGTTTAAATAGCTGCTCGCCAGATTTTATTGCATTATAAAGAAAAGTTATAGAAACTAAATACAACTAAATAAACAACAACAACTAAAACAAATAATAACAACTACTAATAACAATAACTAAATAAACAACAACTAAATTCCATTCGTTTAGCATTGCGTCATATGTTGTTCCTACCAAGTCGAAGTAGTTGTGTTTTTTTCATATTATACCCAATTGAACTTTGTAAATCATAAACTCGAAGTTGGATCGATTGTTCAACTCTGGTTACAGTATATATTTAAAAAAAAGTGCTGTATATCATAATTTTATCTTTTTTTTCTATTCGCATTTCAGTTTTGTCACATTTGTTCTTCTAAAACTAAATTTTCGTTTCGGGAAATTTCAAGAGATTATTTTTTTTTAATTCGTGAAGATTTTCCAGATTTTTTTTTATACATTCACATTTAGTAGAAATGAACAGGAACTATAAAAATTCAGCAAATTTTATTCACATTTTAAAAATCCCTGAAATTAGCAAGCAACGTCAGTCTTAGGAATGGCGAAGACATTTCCGTTTTTATCAACGCATCGGTATTCATCATTGGAGCATTGTCTGCTCAGAAAACATCCGCTTCTTTGTCACACTTAGGGACTTCTCTTGCTATGTAAAATAAATTAAAACATTAAAGATTTCATGCAAATGAATGATTTGGGGCTAAATAAATTAGAAGATTTCTTTTTTATTGTTCATGTCAACCATTTAAAATACAGGGTTATTCATAATTCCCTCCGGGGTTTCAAAGCGTTATAGTAAAAAAACGAAGACGAATATGGCAAAAAAGAACATATGAAATGATTCCGAAAGTATTCAAGTTTTAATTTAAGCAGTTGCCGGTAGATGGCAGTAAAATGTACCACTGAAGCCAGTTGTAGTAAAGAAAAATGGCGTTTACAGCGGAGGGAATTATGAATAACCCTGTACAATGGTTTCTGCATAAGCAAGTACTTTCTATGTATTGTGCAGACATTTCGTACTGCGCAGCTAAATCGGAAATTAGTTAAGTTCTAATCTGAAAACAACAATTAGGCAATTAAGAGCGCTTTGATGTGAAAGTGTCAACTTTTAGAAAAGTGCCACTTATTACTTTATTGCTCGATGTCCTTCAAGTATATTAAAATGAAATGAAGATATTTAATCAAGGGCAAAACACATTTGTCTTCTCTGATTTATTCAAAATAAGAAAAAAACATGAATAACTTTATTATTGAAATTTGTGTAAGTGTAACTTTCGCTTTTTGTTTCTGTTTTTCTTCCATTTTCCTTGATATTTTATCACATTTTCTGTTATATTTTTATTCCTATATAGAGAAGAGTTGAATATAGCCGGATAGATGAAGGACCCTGCAATATTGGCAAAACTACTGTTGCCATCTATTATAAATTACATGAAACTAGTTGCAGATAGTCACCATGTTCCTTAGAGGTTAATGAAAACCAGTGTAGGCTATTTGCTAGTCAACGCCGATGTTTTGAAAAATCTGTTTAACAAAATTCTGGTTTTTAGATCCCTAATTTTATTCAGCTTCTAATTGCTTGAAGATTCGTTTTTGCTATGTTCAACATCTAATAGCACCTCTTTCAAATATTATTTTAAATGATCGAAATAGATTTTACCATTGCTAAAATAGATTTTGTTGTGATTGAAACAGATAAAAATTCTTAGAACACGTTGAACCATAATATCGTCCAGATTTGCTGCAATCTAAATACACTGACAGTTTGAACCATGTACTAGAGAAAATTTGTTCCGTGAATTTGAACATGATGATACGATAATATGATTAAAATGTAACGGAATCCTGGTTCAAATTAGCATTGGACTGAGATAGCTACAAAATTGCGTGTTATTGCATTTCACGAAGCAGATATTAAGAGCCACGATTGCACGATGGTTAAAGCACTGAGCTGCTTTATGTCAGACTGGGGTTCCATCCCTGGTGGTGGCTTTTATCCTACGCTGTTTTATATTGGTGGGTACCAGGTTGTCTGGGAAATGAAGTTGATAATTTGTTCTATATTAATCTGGGAAATGAAGTTGATATAACGTTGACCACATTGCTATCATTCATCATCATAAAATTATAGAGTCAACGCTGAACCTATTTTTCTAGGAATGTAGTTTTGTTGCACTGCAAAAAATTTCGGATCAAATAACGGTAAAAAGTACTGGTACCCCGAGTGCAGCATCCATGAAAAAAAAAAATTTGCTGTAAGATTTTATGCTGTAATTTTTACAATAATACCTATTTAATTACAGTTTTTCAGTGATTTTACAGTAAATATTACTGCAAAAATTATGGTACATCAGATGTTTTAAACATAAAATTTAACTATAAAAATGCATTTTGCCAAAAAAGTACTGACACCCTGAGTTCTGGTTCTTTCTATGGTAATTTGATATCGAATTTTACAATTTAGGTTATTTGTTAGAGATTTCCTTTTCATGTCTTGCAAAACAATTTTTAAAAATTCATTTAGTAAATTGAAAGAAAATTATAAAAAAAAACTGTTTAGTTAATAGATATAACAATTAGAGTTTTCAAATATTCGAATTTATTGTGCTTTTTTTAGTTATCTTATATGCGCTTTAAATTTTTTATTGGAATTTTGTTTTTAATGTGAACATTCATTAGAAAACCCTTCTAAGAAATGTTTTTTGCTTCTAAGAATACATTTCCAAATTTCAGCGTTTCCTATTGCTATTATAAAAGTCTAATCTAAAACTCTTTAGATTAGAGTGTCTCAAACGAATCAAGGCCAAATATTCCGTCATTAGATTAGTAAACAGATAGAAATCATTCATTTTCCTGCTCCTTGAATGACCTGAAAAGATAGCCCTTTTATGAACAACAACACAACACTAACTATAATCATTATAAACCATATTTCTACAAAAGTACATGAAAAAAGTGTATATGAATTTAAATACATTGAAATTGATATCACAAAATACAGGTATTAAATTAACCAAACAAAAAAGAAAAGTTTACTGGATTATACTNTGCAAAAATTTTTTAAAAGAAATTTTCCCATTTAAAAGAAATTTGATTCGAATCCCAGTTGATACGAATTCCTGTTCGACTTATTGTAAGGCGAATGCTCTATCTCCTGAGTCATCGCGGCTCATGATATTCAGTATGCAAAAATTTTTTAAAAGAAATTTTCCCATTTAAAAGAAATTTGATTCGAATCCCAGTTGATACGAATTCCTGTTCGACTTATTGTAAGGCGAATGCTCTATCTCCTGAGTCATCGCGGCTCATGATATTCAGTATGCAAAAATTTTTTAAAAGAAATTTTCCCATTTAAAAGAAATTTGATTCGAATCCCAGTTGATACGAATTCCTGTTCGACTTATTGTAAGGCGAATGCTCTATCTCCTGAGTCATCGCGGCTCATGATATTCAGTATGCAAAAATTTTTTAAAAGAAATTTTCCCATTTAAAAGAAATTTGATTCGAATCCCAGTTGATACGAATTCCTGTTCGACTTATTGTAAGGCGAATGCTCTATCTCCTGAGTCATCGCGGCTCATGATATTCAGTATGCAAAAATTTTTTAAAAGAAATTTTCCCATTTAAAAGAAATTTGATTCGAATCCCAGTTGATACGAATTCCTGTTCGACTTATTGTAAGGCGAATGCTCTATCTCCTGAGTCATCGCGGCTCATGATATTCAGTATGTAAAAAATTTTTAAAAGAAATTTTCCCATTTAAAAGAAATTTGATTCGAATCCCAGTTGATACGAATTCCTCATCCGGCTTGCACCGACAACAGTGCTGACGTGAAATATCCTCAGTGGTAGACAGATCATGGGTTAGAGTTCCCCCCTCTTGCCGTCAGGCTAACCAGGGGAGGCTCTCATGGTCTTTCTCTCCATGTAACGCAAATGCGGGCTAACTCCATCAAAAAATCTTTCACGAAGGCAAATTTCTCCCAATACTCGATCCAGGAGTTCTGTTGTCTTCTGGATTGGGTTCAAAATTTCTAGGTTACGGGGTTGAACATTAGTAGTCGCAAACCCATAAAATAGGGTCGGCTGTTCAACGACGGTTATAAAGTAAAGTAAAATTAAATACTGTATATCATGTACAGCGGTGGCTTAGAGTAGAGGAGAGAACGTTCCCTTTCAGTGAGGTGACTCAGGTTCGAATCCCAGTGGTGGCTGGTGGATACGAGTTCTGCTCACGGCTCGCACGGAAAACTGTGTAGACGTAAAATATCCTCATTGATCATGGATTTAAATCACTTTGGAATCGGGCTAACCGTGGGTAGTTTTCGTGTTTTTTTTGTCTGTATATAATGCAATGTGGATTAGTCCCCTCAAAAGTTTTTTCCACGAACCTTTTGATTGTCCCAATGAGTAATCCAGGTGTTCCCTTCTCTTCCGGTTACGGTTTCAAAATTAGAGATGCTGCGGAATTGAACATTGTAAATCATAAACTCGAAATTGGATCGATTGTTCAACTCTGGTTACAGTATATATTAAAAAAAAAAGTCCTGTATATCATAATTTTATGTTTTTTTTCTACTCACATTTCAGTTTTGTCACATTTGTTCTTCTAAAAGTAAATTTTCGTTTCGGGAAATTTCAAGAGATTGCTATTTTTTTTTAATTCGTGAAGATTCTCCAGATTTTTTTATACATTCACATTTAGTAGAAATGAACAGGAACTATGAAAATTCAGCAAATTTTATTCACATTTTAAAAATCCCTAAAAAGCAACGTCAGTCTTAGGAATGGCGAAGACATTTCCGTTTTTATCAACGCATTGGTATTCATCATTGGAGTATTGTTTGCTCAGAAAATATCCATTCCTTTGTCACTCTTGGGGACTTCTCTTGCTATGTAAAATAAATTAAAACATTAAGGATTTCACACAAATGAATGATTTGGAGCTAAATAAATTAAAAGATTTTTTTTTAATTGTTCATGTCAACCATTTAAAATACAGGGTTATTCATAATTCCCTCCGGGGTTTCGAAGCGTTATAGTAAAAAAACGAAGACGAATATGGCAAAAAAGAACATATGAAATTATTCTGAAAGTATTCAAGTTTTAATTTAAGCAGTTGCCGGTAGAGGGCAGTAACATGTACCACTGAAGCCAGTTGTAGTAAAGAAAAATTGCGTTTGCAGCGGAGGAAATTATGAATAACCTTGTACAATGGTTTCTATATAAGCAAGTACTTTCCATATATTGTGCAGCCATTTGGTACTGCGCAGCTATTTCGAAAATTAGTAAAGTTCTAATCTGAAAACAACAATTAGGCAGTTACGAACGCTTTGATGTGAAAGCGTCAGCTTTTAAAAAAATGCCACTTATTATTTTATTGCTCGATGCCCTTCAAATATATTAAAATGAAATGAAGATATTTAATCAAGGGCAAAACACATTTGGCTTATCTGATTTATTCAAAATAAGAAAAAAACATGAATAACTTTATTATTGAAATTTGTGTAAGTGTAACTTTTGATTTTGGTTTCTGTTTTTCTTCCTTTTTCTTTGATATTTTATTACATTTTCTAATAGCGAAGAGTTGAATATAGCCGGATAAATGAATAGAGCTAGGACCCCGCAATATTGGCAAAACTACTACTGCCATCTGTCATAAATTACATGAAACTAGTTGCAGACATTCACCATGTTCCTTAGAGACTAATGAAAACCAGTGTAGGCTATTTGCTAGTCAATGCCGATGTTTTCAAAAGTCTGTTTAACAAAATTTTGATTTTTGTATCCCTAATTTTATTTAGTTTCTAACTGCTTGAAGATTCGTTTTGTGCTACGTTCAACATCTAATAGTACCTCTTACAAATATTATTTTAAATGATTGAAATAACTTTTACCATAGCTAAAATAGATTTTGCTGTGAGTGAAACAGATTAAAATTATTAGAACACGTTGAACCATAATATAGTCCAGATTTTCTGCAACCTAAATACATTGGCAGTTTGAACCATTTCATACATAAAATTTGTTCCGTGAACTTGAGCACGATAATGCGATAATATGATTCAAATGTAACGGAATCCTGGTTCAAATTAACATCAGATTAAGATTGCTAGGAGGTTGCGTGATAGCACATTTCAACAAACAGATATTAAGAGCCACGATTGCACGATGGTTAAAACACTGAGCTGCTATATGTCAGACTGGGGTTCTATCCCTGGTGTTGGCTTTAATCCCACGCTGTTTTATATTGGTGGGTGCCAGCTTGTCTGAGAAATAAAGTTGATAATTTACAACGCTGACGACATTGCCATCATCATTATAAAATTATGGAGCCAATGCTGAACCCATTTTTCTAAGAGAGTAGTTTTGCTACACTGTAAAAAATTTCGAATCAAATAACGGTAAAAAGTACTGGCACCCCGAGTGCAGCATCCGCAAAATAAAATTTTTCTGTAAGATTTAATACTGTAATTTTTACAATAATACTTACTTAATTACAGTTTTTCAGTGATTTTACAGTAAATATTACTGTTAAAATTATGGTACATCATATTTTATAACATAAAATTTAACTATAAAAATGCATTTTGCCAAAAATCTACTGACACCCTGAGTTCTGGTTCTTTCTATAGTAATTTGATATAGAATTTTACAATTTAGATTACTTGTTAGAGTTTTCCTTTTCATGTCTTGCAAAACAATTTTTAAAAATTCATTTAGCAAATTGAAAGAAAATATAAAACAGAACTCTTTAGTTAATATACGATTAGAGTTTTCAAATATTCGAATTTATTGTGCTTTTTTAGTTATCTTATATGCACTTTAAAGTTTCAATTGGAATTTTGTTTTTGATGCGAACATTCATTAGAAAACCCTTCTAAGACTTGTTTTTTGCTTCTAAGAATACATTTCCAAATTTCAGCGTTTCTTATTGCTATTATAAAAGTCTAATCTAAAACTCTTTAGATTAGAGTGTCTCAAACGAATCAAGGCCAAATATTCCGTCAATCATTCCGTCATTAGATTAGTAAACAGATAGAAATCATTCATTTTCCTGCTCCTTGAATGACCTGAAAAGATAGCCCTTTTATGAACAACAACACAACACTAACTATAATCATTATAAACCATATTTCTACAAAAGTACATGAAAAAAGTGTATATGAATTTAAATACATTGAAATTGATATCACAAAATACAGGTATTAAATTAACCAAACAAAAAAGAAAAGTTTACTGGATTATACTATCTTGCACAGTTTTTAATCCCCACCTTTCGTTCATTTTGATAAAAAACTGACTTTTTTTTATAAAACGTTTAATCAATTGAAGCTAAATTAAATTTTTTCAACCATTTCCACTTTTTTTGTTAAAATCTTTATTGATTCTCTACTATTTTTATAAGCGTCTGGTTTTTTTATAATGTTTTTATTTTATTCTCATTTGAATATACATTTACAAACCTAACAATTTCAATTTCAACAATTGTCATCAAATTCTCTATTATTAATCTACGTGTTCAAGCCAAAGGTTGTAAAACACATCAAATTCTCAAAGTCAACTATTTACCCGATAAAAAAATTTTGTTCCGTAATGAATAAAGTAATAATACCTAAAATTTCTGTGTTCTTAACCGTTGATTAGATGCCCATTTGGCAGAATGCTTTTTCCCACCTCTAACCCTTCCTCAAAAGCTCAATTTAAACTTTATTTCCTCAAAACAATATTTTATAAGCTTTTTAACTATTTATTCAATTTAGGGTTAAGGCGACGCGGTACAGTGCATTTAATCCTCTCTTTATCACTTAAAAAATAGTAAAAAAAAACTTTTTTACCAGTGAAGATTAGTAAGGAAACAAACGTAATTAGCTACTCAGTGTCTTCACTCAGAATGACGGTTTTCAAATACTTATTATTGGACAATTGTGTAAATTAAAGGGGGGGGGGGAGAAACGTGCAGCAATCTGTAAAACATACGTTCAATTGTCAGAATAATTTTTTTTTTAAATTTTAGTTATTGTTTTAAATTTTATTTTAATTTTTTAAAGAAATAAAATTTGTAAATCAAAACAGAAAAACTGAAAGTTTACATCAAAATATTTCGGAATCTAGCATGAATGAAAATAAAATTACCATTTTTTGTTGCTTAAATATTGCAGCAATCACCTTTCTGTAATCAGTTAACGAAATTACCAAAAGCAACCGAAAAAAAAGTAAAAAACTTGCTGCACCATAGGAATAGAAAACATTGTGAAATAAAACTTTAAATTCAGGTAATAAAATTTGTTCCCTGTTATATGAACTTGTTGCAAAAATTCATTTTTTTAAAAATTAAAAAAAATTAACCGTTTTCCCAAATCTATTTTGAACTATCCGTACATAGAATGTTATTTGTTTTGTTGACGAAGCAATAACTACTCCGCAATAATTATTTAGAATTATGTGTTTTTTTTACAACGACATGTTTGTTAACTTAAATAGATTTATTTATAATAAATCACTTACTTATATAAATGTATACTTATATTCCTACTTACTAATTATATAACTGAATGCTTACTTATATAATTGAACAATATAATTGGATAAATTACATTACAGTGAAACCTCTCTGAAGCAACCTCTCTCAGTAAAATGGCCCACAATGGAGGTTGGTCGTTCTTAAAGGTTCTCTCTCCATTGGCTTCAAAATGTTATGGAAGGTACGTGGTATGGTTTTCGCAAATGATTTTAATCAGTGTGATTTTTTTGAAGCGGATATGCTACTTGTGTTGGCGTCTTGAGAACCTGATCGATAAGTAAATTTTAGAGTCAATAAAAATGATCCCTACTGATATAATTATGCATTAAAACAAATTTACTAATTATAAATGATAAAACTATTTTAAATAAATAAAAAAATCATGCTTTTTAAGTTTGCATTTAATTTTATATCATAAAAATTATTTAGCTCTAAAAGATAAAAAGAGATTAGTTTGTTTAAGATGCTGAATTTTTTTTCTTTCTTAAATGACTTTTTTTTTCAAATTTCACTTTGAACTATACAAATTAATCATTGATAGCATCGTCTTTAATGCACTCTGATTGCATCATAAGGTTTTGACGATCTCTTTCAGAGATTGCCACAAAGGGCTCTCTAAATAACAGTCTCTTACAAATATTTTAAATATATTTTAATCTACTTTTTCGTTTTGTCAATTATTTTTGTTTTGATACTTTTTCTTGTTTCCTCGTTTGACCTTTTCCGTTTGATGGATTTCAGAGGAATATTTAGGATTAGAGGAATATTAGGATTTCAGAGAAATATTTAGGATGGAGACCATCTCTTTCAGAGATGGTCTCCATCCTAAATATTTTCTTCAACACAATCCTAAATATTTTCTTCAACACAAAGTCTACGTAAAAAATTCCGTACCATCCAAAAGTGGTCCTAAATAGTGGAGGTCTTACTGCATATTTAATTCTGGGAATACAGAACGAGTGATATAATAAAAAATAATGAAAGAGAAGTAATTTTACTTGTTAACAATATATTAAGTTAACCTTCTAACATGAACCCTCACAACTTAGAAACAGTTTGAAACGATCTTGGATCTTTATTAAAAATAATATTAATTCTGAAATTTCGACAAATTTTTTATCTGGTAGCATCTAATCACTTTCTATTATTTTCAATTTTATGACTTTTTTTTGTTGTTGTTTTTTTTTGGCATCAAGGAAAGTAGCAGCTTATAAAAAAAAATCTGAAGAGAAAGAAAGAAAACTTTCTACGACGAAGGATTAATAATCATTATTAAATGAAAAAAAATCGCAGGAAAAAAACACTTAAGACTTAGCGAATAGAAATTTTGAAAAATAATTCTCAATGAAAATCGGTAGTTCTCTGAAAGGTAGTGACCTTTCAGCAAGTCAAATTTCAACTCTGTAATTGCATTGTAGCAGACTTTTGATCAGCTTGCATATCATTTTTACTTCAGAAATTTTTTTAATTTATCTTGCTCTTAGTACAGTTTTCTACACACCATCATAGGAATTTCAAGTTTCTAAATTTTATACTAGCTCGTTCGCAGTAAAACAAAATGTAACGTAAAGTAAAATAAATAAAATTCATAAAAAACATTTAAAATTTCGTTAACTTTCAAGCAAATTGGAATTTTTTTTAAAAAAACTCATGTTTTTGTCATAATCAAAAAAGGTCCTTTCACGCATGCCAAATTTCAACTTTGTAGATGATTTCATACGGCTCGCACAGTTTCTCATATGGCATTTTTTACAACTTTAACAGTCAATAATTTTCGAACGACAATTGTTGGATTGTTAAATTTTTATTGTATCATATTCCCATTAAATTTTCTACACAGCTTCTTAATTTCTAGTTTCCTAGTCTTATAGTTTCAGCTCTGCAATTTCAAAAAATAACGTAAAGTTGAACGTTTTAAAACGTTAAAGTGGAAACATGTTTGATAACTTTAATACGATAAATTAATGTTTTCTCGACTAATAAATTTCCCTAAAGTTAAGGAAATAAACCTTTTTAACTAATTAAATTTTATAAACGTGAATGAGAGTTAAATTTATATCTAACTCAATATCGTTGGTTGAAACTTCAACAGTGACGAAAGGAAAATAAAATTGCTCACTAAAAATTTAGTTCTTTTTTAAATAATAGTTCTAAAAAGTCGCACATGAAAAAACTTTCTTACTTTAATATTTAGCCAAAGTTCATCTTGAAAGTAGATACGTTGTTTTTAACTGTATCATACGAAGAAATACTTGAAAAAAATTAGATAAGCCAATATAAGTTTTTATCTGAAAGTTACAGATGTTGCTTTCGTCAGTGCTTAAAGTTTGGCATGAATTAAAATCCCCCTTTTCACATTAAAATAGATAATTTTATTATTAGATTAGATAATTTTATTAATTTTCTGATTTCAAGTTTTGAGCTACTTAATTTATTCTAAGCAAAAATTCATGGTGATCATGTATTAATGAATTTTATAATATTTGAAGGCGTTTTTTGTTAATTGGACTAAAAAACACTACATTTTGTTGCCACCCTTTTAACACAACTATTAAAGCTGTTTTATATTTAATGAAATTTAAAAAAAACTAAATAATCTTTTTTAATGCCATTTACTTAATTTAAATTTTTAAAATCCTTGTCTAGTATTAATTTATAAAAATATTTATACCAATGATCGTAAATTACTACTGAAATGAAAAAAAAATGCATACATAATCAAAAACTTGTAAATCTTTATCGGAATAGATGTAAATAAAAATCACTTGTTTGAATTTGAAATTAAAGATGCTAAAGAAAAGATTTGAAAGGGAATTAATTGAAATGTTTTTCTATTATCTTCAGAAATCAAGTTTTCTATCTGGTCTTATAAATAATTTTTATGATATGATTAAAGTTTTCTACACAAAATTTCGAAATCATTTACGGAAAAAATAAAGACTCTCAGGGTGCCGGACTTTTTAATGTAAAATTTTTTTTAATGTCTAATTTTTCCGAAACATGCTACGGAATAAAAAAATTTGATATACCGTAATATTTACCATAATTTTTACCATAATATTTACCGTAAAATTAACGTATCACTAATTAAATAAATATTAGCGTAAAAATTACTATATAATATTTTTAAGTAAAGAGGATTTTACTGTAAAAATAGATGGATTATAACGGATGAAAAACGGTAAATGGTAAATAATGGATGAACAAATGGGAAAAATGGATTTTACGGTAAAATGGATTTACGTTAAAGTGGATTTTACAGACGATACCCCCAAAGTGCCGATACTTTACAACGTCTTCTTCATCACTTCTGTTTCTTCTTCTCGTCTGGCAAGTCTTGAAAATGGTCGCCAATTTTTGAGCGCATAAATTTGTTCTCACGTGTAAAATATAAAACAGTAGTTTTCAGCTAGTGCGTAGTAAAGTCACATGTGTAGAGATGTTGAGAACGTTTATTATGAGTCGTTCTTTTATTATTTGTTTATTTTTTACTTTATTTTATATAGCATCTTCTTTAATTGCAAAAACAATTCAAATTGCTTTGAACAAATAAAAAGGAATATTTAATGAACTAAATCTCGAAGTTTATCGTAATTGACAAGAAAACGTAAGGTATCAAACAAAAATTTCAAAATAAATTTTATTTAAAATGATAAAAACGTTTCTGAAATTATGAGAGTTAACAACTAGTTTTAGTTTCAAACCTTATGCATATGGCTCTAAATTGCACCTAGAAAGAAAAAACTTAATCTAAACAAGTTATGTAAAGCCCACATTTTAATTTTATCAATTGTAACTATTAACTGTTTTATTAAACTGCTTTACGTTTTGCACAAAGATGATCCATTTAGAGGGCATCGGAGTTAATACATTTTTGTGATTGGAAAATGATTTTTAATCTTTATTTTTAGCTTTAATAAATAATAATTACACAACACTTAGTTGTGACTTTGAAACATATTTATGTTCAAGGTTTTTACATTGTCGGGGAATTCCGGGCTAATTTGAGGGAAAATGTATTGACACCTTGGGTGCATCATCCGTAAAATCAATTCACTCGTAAAATTTGTTTTTACTGTAAAGTTTCATACCATAGTTTTAACAGCAATATTTATTTAACTACAATTATTCAGTGATTTTATATCAAATAATATGGTATATATAAAAACTACAGTATATCAAATTTTTTGTTCTGTAGAAGTTTAGTAAGAATAAATTTTACGGTAAAAAGTACCACCAGCCAAAGGGCCGGTACTTAAATAGATAGCCGAATATATTTGACATAAAATTTAAATTTCACAAAAAAAGGAGTAACCAAATAATTTCTCTATGCAGCTAGATGTGGAGCTTGAAAAATTAAAAAAGAATTTCATAAATCTAATTTGTAACAAAAAGATTTTTAAAAAATACATCTCGATACGGATCCAAACAAAAAGAAAAAAACACTGAAAAAAAGGACTGAAAAAAGGTAAAAAGTACGGTATATTTTACTTTAAAAAAAAATCTTACCTGCAAAAAAAAATCGGAATCAAATTATGGTAAAAAGTACTGTTACTCTGATCCATAAAATCCACTTTTTCGTTATCGCATTTTACTATACTGAGTGCCGGTACTTTTTACCATAATTTGATACGGAATTTTTTACTATGCGTGTCATTTACTATGCGTGTAAAATTGATTACGGAAAATCAATAATGAAAGAATCAAACCGATTTAAATTAATATTATAGTTAAGTAAATTAATACGAAGTCATTCATGAAATATGAAGAACACTGAAAGAAAATTTCGGATCAAATTACTGTATAAAGTACCGGCACTCATGGTGCCAGTACTCTTTGCCGTAAAATCAATTTTACGGAAAAAGTTTACCAAATAAATCTGATACACTGTAGTTTTTACAGTTATTTTTACTGCAGAATTATTGAGTCATCCGTAAAACCCATCTTACCGTAAAATTGGTTTTAACCGTAAAATATTGTCACGTAATTTTTGCAGTCATATTTTTTAATTACAGTGATTCAATAGCTCTGCAGTAAATATTACTGTAAAAAGTACGGTATATCAGTTTTTTCCGTAAAAATTTTTGATAAAAATGGATTAAGGAGTACAGGTACCATGAATGCCGGTACTTTTTAGCGTAATTTTATCCGCAATTTTATACCATTTAAAGGTCAGAGATTTTTTTTAACGCTTTCTTTAAGTAAAACGGTTTAATGTATTGTTTTTTGTTAATTTGCATAAATTTTATGCTAAAGATAATAATTATGTTACAAAGAATGAGCTATCTTTAAATTTTATCAAAATGCTTTCTCTGTTCCATGTTTATTAATTCGAAGGCTGAGATACGCCGAGATTTTAAAATTAAATACACCTGCATGTGGTTCAACATTTGTGAGAAATTTCACACATGGTGCAGCAAGAATCTGAATATATATGGATGGAAAAGGTGCTATCATACTTAGAAACCTTTTCAGAAGTTTCAGGTAAGAAATCTCTTTAACAATCTTTTCACAGATTATTATTAGTTAGGGTTAGTTCTTTGAAAAAATATAATTTTCATATTTAAATTTATTTGAATATAAAGTTGTCTTAATTTAATTTGAAGCTGTTATTTTCCATTTGGTTCTATGTAGAAGTATTTTGTAAGTAAACGTAAGTAAGTTTTGTAAGTAGAAGCATTTTGTAGGTATATCTAGGGGCAAAGTTTCAAGTTCGCAACCCAGTCATGATTGTTTGTTTTTGGCATAAAATAGTTTCTTCTGCAAAATTTAAAATTATGCGCATAAATTTTATGTTCTAAACTAATCCTATTTGCTTACGCCTTTGCTCCCCGTCTCACTTTTAAACATTTCCCTTTTGATTCGATTAAGATTAATGAATATAAATACTTTTACTCGATAATATTTTTTTTAATAACATTCAAAATTAAAAGTACATTGTTTTGACAAATTTAGTGAGTTCTCAACAGTAATTTAATATTTTCGTTCTCCAAATAGACTGGACTCAATTTATTTGTGCATCGAATTGAGCATGAAGCTGATCGCTAAGTTCGTAATCTCTTAACGAATTCCTTTAACTGTAATTTGTAATAGTATCTTTATGTAATTTGCACCATAAAATAATAATTGTAATACGGTAAAAAAAATTATATACTGGTTCAAATGAGTGTTTCTTAAAATGTAGCGTGGTAAGGTAATGTCGTAGAATTACGTTATAACAACGAAACAACTTTTTAGCTATATACACTTCATTTGGAAAACAATCAAAAACATTATAATAGCAGAGTAAAATAAAATAAACAATAAATATTACTGGCAAATACCTTTTAATTAGGGATTTGTGGGAAAACAATGCCTTTAGGACTTTTATTAATTCTATTCTGATGACAACAAAAAATACGGATAATAATGTGGGAAAACTGAATCCCACCATGTGATTTTCCGGTAAATGAAAATTCCTTAACAGCAATGAAAAACTGTTTGAACATTTTATTCTTACATTGTATAGAGATACTATTATTTAAGATTTGAATCATCTGATTTAAATATTAAAAATGTTTTTAAAACTCCTCTAATATCCTATGAACAGGACTATTATTTAAGGTTTGAAATGTTTTATTTAAAGTTTATAAATGTTTTTAGTACTCTTCTAAAATCTTATTGCTGGACTGTTTTTAAGGTTTTGAAATGTTTTATTTAAAGTTTATAAATGTTTAAAAAAAACACTCTTCTAAGATCTTATTAACAGATCTATTTTCCTTTTGGCTAAGGGGTTTGAAACAATTCTTAAAAGAATTTTAATATAAAAGTATTTAAAAACATTTAATGTTTTATAATCTGAAACAGATTAAGAAAACAGTGTAAAACAAATTAAAATATTTTTTAAAGAAAATTAATTAATTTGCTAAATACGCAACTTTTTTTTTGTTTTTCTGAATATTCTATTTTAAACACATTAATATTTTTTTAACCAGCTAAAGCGTGCTTCACTATCCCAAATTACACTAGTATTTTTTTTTAATTTGATTTCTCTTATTCCCATTTGTTTTTAAGTAAATCTGTACTAAGTGTCATTCATTTAATACGAATAATATTCTACCATTTGAGCTTAGAGCAGTGTAACTGATTCCGACTTCCAGGCCATTAATCCCTACATTAAATCTAACTTTTACTGAAGTTAATAGGGTTCGGTAAATTACCTTTCATTTGTTATCATTTTTTTTTATTCTTGCACTTTTATCTTAAACTATTTAATTAATCATTGCGAGGCGTGGAAATATCACAATTTAAAAAAGCGTATTACAATTATGCATTTACAAAATTTAAATTAATAAATACTGATAATTGTCTAAAAATAGTTCTATTGCCTGTATAATTTTTTTAAAATTCTCTAATTTGTTTTTAAAGTAATAAAACTTTCTAATAACTTACATAACACAACTTTTCATAACGAAAAAAATTTCCATTCATATACAAATACAAAAGATACTTTTATCATTAAATTCAGAAAAAATTCTTTAATGAAATATATCTGACCATCACGACGTACTAAAAAGTAAAATATTAAATTTTTTAAGAAAATTATTTGTTCACGGTTAGAAATAGGACAATTTTAAAATTATTTTTTTATTATAAAAGCCATTTTTAACTACAACCTATGCGTAGTTCTCCATTATAATAATTCTGTATAATTAAATTATGTCAAATATTCTTTTATATAATTAAATGATTTCATAACTAATTTCATATTTTTTAAGGAAATGTCTTTTAAAGAAGCAATTTAATAAATTTATAATTTCTGTTGAACTTTTAGTGCACCGAGTTATTTCAGATAGCAGTATGTGTTAAGAAAAGCATTTTTAATTAAATTTCTGAACGTATTTTGAACAACAATGTATAAGTGCTGATAAATTAAGACCATCGAGTTAACTTTAAAGCTTAAAATTTAGATAAGGCGAAGTCTTTTTAAAAGTTATTATTAAATTAAATATTAATGTTGAGATTAAATATTTTTTGGAGTTTAAAAAGAAAATCCGGTTTATTTTAAATTTTTTCTTATATCTTTGCCCTATTTTTCATTCAGGTGTTATTTATCTAAAAAGTAAACAAAAATGTATTATAATCGCATCAAATGTATTATTGATCTAGACCGTAAGAAACTCTGAATCAAATTATGGTAAAAAAATACCGGCACTCGGGATGCCGGTATTTTCTACCTTAAAATCATTTTTTTTTTTCGAAACATGTTACAGAACAAAAATCTGATATACCGCAGTTTTTACTGTAATGATTGCCATCAAACAATCGAATCGCACTAATTAAATCAATATTACTGCAAAACTGATGAATTCCGGTATAGTATTTTATAGTAAAAAATTAATTTTGCAGTAAAATAGATTTTACGGTTGATGCCGGTACTTAATACCGGAATTTGATCCAGAATTTTGTAGAGTGTAACTTCATGTTAAAGCATTTTTAAAATAATGTTCTGTTTAAGATAAAATTGGTGTTACTCTTTAATATAAACTCCAGAAGTATTTTCACAAATAAATATTTCCCAATCTTTATTCAATTCAGTTAGTAAGCAGTTAAGTTTTCAGATATCACAAATAAATATTTTTCGAACCTATAATCGTTAATAACTGAATTGTAAAGTAGTTTAAGTTTTTTTATGTTAGTTGGTTGGCTGGCTGGCTGGCATTCCTTATATAAATGCTCTAAAATTAAAATACGCTTTATAGCGATTTTTTATTTTTGAGTTAAATTGTAACGAAATTTCATAAATTAAAATAAAAAAATTAAATACAACATTGTATCGAAATTTTAATAAAAATTAAAAGATTACAAGGAAGAATGCTTTAGTAACTATGCATAACTTAAAAATCTTAAGAAAGAAATTAACAGTAAACCATTATTTTATTAAAGGAAATTTTTTTTTTCCAGATAAGCCATCATGTTGAAGATTGTAGGAATTCTCGCTGTAAGTATGGTTTCAAAAAATTAAATTAATACATGTAAAATATTTATTTGTATATTTAAATGCAAACACCTCAAATTTTAATTTATTTATATACTAGTTTATTTATTTCCATAGTTTGTTTACTTTAAGTAAATCTCATCTCAAAGACATCTCAGTATTACAAAGCTTAAAGTTTAGTCATTTATTTTAGCATTGATTGTCTCAAAGGGTTATTTTCCTNACATTTTATTTTTACATTGTATAGAGATACTATTATTTAAGATTTGAATCATCTGATTTAAATATTAAAAATGTTTTTAAAACTCCTCTAATATCCTATGAACAGGACTATTATTTAAGGTTTGAAATGTTTTATTTAAAGTTTATAAATGTTTTTAGGACTCTTCTAAAATCTTATTGCTGGACTGTTTTTAAGGTTTTGAAATGTTTTATTTAAAGTTTATAAATGTTTTAAAAAAAACACTCTTCTAAGACCTTATTAACAGATCTATTTTTCCTTTTGGCTAAGGGGGGTTTGAACCAATTCTTAAAAGAATTTTAATATAAAAGTATTTAAAAATATTTAATGTTTTATAATCTGAAACAGATTAAGAAAACAGTGTAAAACAAATTAAAATATTTCTTAAAGAAAATTAATTAGTTTGCTAAATAGACAACTTTTTTTTCTGTTTTTCTGAATATTCTATTTTAAACACTTTAAAAAAAAAATTTTAACCAGCTAAAGCGTGCTTCACTATCTCAAATTACGCTATTTTTTTATTTGCTTTTTCTTATTCCCATTTGTTTTTAAGGCTTTACAAAGTGTAATTCATTCAATATGAATATTGTTCTGCCTTTTGAACTTAGCGCAATGTAACTGATTCCGACTTCCAGGCCATTAGTCACTGCATTAAACCTAACTTTTACTGAAGTTAATAGGGCTCGGTAAATTACTCTTCATTAATTATCTTTTTCTTATTCTTACACTTTTATCTTAAACTATCAAACTAAAACATTACGGTGCATGGAAATCATCATATCAGAAATTATCAGAAATTAAAAAAAACGTATTACACCTATGCATTTACAAAATTTAAATTAATAAATACTGATAATTGCTTAGAAATAATTCTATTGCCTGCATCATTTTTTTTTAAATTCTCAAATGTGCTTTTAACGTAATAAAACTTTCTAATAACTTGCATAACACACCTTTTCATAACGAAAAAAATTTCCATTCATATACAAATACAAAAGATGCTTTTATCATTAAATTCAGAAAAAATTCTTTAATCTTAATAATTTATTCTTAATAATTTAAATATATCTGCCTATCACGACATATTAAAAAGTAAAATATTAAATTTTTTAAGAAAATTATTTGTTCATAGTTGGAAATAAGACAATTTTAAAATTATTTTTTACTATAAAAGCTATTTTTAACTACAACTATGCGTAGTTCTCCATTATAATAATTCCATATAATTAAATTATTTCAAATATTTTCTTTATATAATTAAATTATTTCATAACTAATTCCATATTTTTTAAGGAAACATCTTTTAAAGAAGCAAATTAATAAATTTATAATTTCTGTTGAACTTTTAGAACACCTTAAGAGTTATTTCAGATAGTAGTACGTGTTAAGAAAAAAACATTTTCAATTAAATTTCTAAACTTATTTTGAACAGTGAATAAGTGCTGATAAATTAAGACCATCGAGTTAACTTAAAAGCTTAAAATTTAGAGAAGGCGAAGTGTTTTTAAAAGTTATTATTAGATTAAATATTAATGTTGAGATTAAATATTTTCTGGAGTTTAAAGAGAAAACTCGGTTTATTTATTATATTTTTTATATCTTTGCTCTATTTTACATTCAGTCGTTATTTATCCAAAAAGTAAGCAAAAATGTATTATAATCGCATTAAATGCATTATTGATCTACACCGTAAGATACTCTGAATCAAATTATGGTAAAAATACCGGCACTCTGGATGCGGGCATTTTCTACCGTAAAATCTTTTTTTTCTGAAACATGTTACGCAACAACTGATATACTGTAGTTTTTACTGTAATGATTGCCATCAAACCACTGAATCATCTTAATTAAATAAATATTACAGCAAAATTGATGAATTACTGTATAGTATTTTATGGTAAAAAATTAATTTTGCAGTGAAATAGATTTTACGGATGATGCACTCTAAGTGCCGGTACTTTATACTTTAATTTGATCCGGAATTTTGTAGAGTGTAACCTTATGTTAAAGCATTTTTAAAATAACGTAGCCTGTTCTGTTTAAGATAAAATTGGTGTTACTCTTTTATATAAACTGCAGAAGTATTTTCCCAAATAAATATTTCCCAATCTTTATTAATTAAGTGAGCAAAGTTTTCAGATATCACAAATAAATATTTTTAGAACTTATAATCGTTAATAACTGAATTGTAAAGTAGTTTCAGTTTTTTCATGTTAGTTGGTTGACTGGCATTCCTTATAGAAATGCTCTAAAATTAAAATACGTTTTATAGCGATTTTTTTAATTTTTGAGTTCAATTGTAAAGAAATTTCATAAATTAAAATAAAAATTAAATACAACATTGCATCAGAATTTTAATTAAAATTAAAAGATTACAGGGAAGAATGCTTTAGTAACTATGCATAACTTAAAAATCTTAAGAAAGAAAATAACAGTAAACCATTATTTTTATTAAAGGTAATTTTTTTCTTCCAGATAAGCCATCATGTTGAAGATTGTAGGAATTCTCGCTGTAAGTATGGTTTCAAAAAAGTAAATTAATGCATGTAAAATATTTATTTGTATATTTAAATGCAAACACCTCAAATTTTAATTTATTTGTATAGTTTATTTATTTCCATAGTTTATTTACTTTAAGTAAATATCATCTCAAAGACATCTCAGTATTACAAAGCTTAAAGTTTAGTCATTTATTTTAGCATTGATTGTCTCAAAGGGTTATTTTCTTTTTCTTAAAAAAAAGAATGTAAACAAATCGTTTTAAAATTTCTTTTTGAACTTTAAATATGTTTATTCACAGGGGAAATGTTTGTATTACATATTACATATATTAATGAATTGTTTTAATATTTATTTTGCATCTTTTCGAACCCTAAAGTAACGAAAAATAATATTTTTAAGTATAAAAGTAAATAAATTTATTAATTACAAAATTAGAAAAAAAAATTAATGTGGAAAAAAAGTGTTATATTAAAAAACGGATACTAAATATGCAATACACTAAGTTAGGAAGAAAATATTCTTAATTATGTAAATGCTCAACCTTTTAATATTTGCGATCGAAATTTCTTTTGTAGTTCTCATCGCGTCCTCCTCATTCACACTTTAACTATTGTCTTGATTTACATTTAATTTGTTCTAATTTAATTGTATTTTGAAGCTAAAGCTACACGACGACTTTGATGACAAACCTTAATTACTCATATATTATTTGTGTGTTGAAATCTATTGCAATAAACAAAATTGCAATAAGAATACAAAATTCTGATTCTTTTTTTTTACAAGCGACGTCGCCCATGGGTGAGACAATCAGGTTCGATACACGCGCGTAACGTCGCCTGCAGGTATCCAATTAAATTTTATCCGAAAATTAATTCAGCTTGATAATAAAGTGAAGTGTTATAGCTGTAACGTTAACATCCCCACGTAACCACGTGATTAGTTGCAAGTATTTAAATGTCACCCAAAAAATATTTAAAACCAACTAAACATAACAATACATAATGCACATTCCACTTTCTACTTATCACAATGTACTAAAGCATAGACCAAGTCAATAATTTCTAAACCTATAATACTAATAATTTAATTATTATAAGGTTCAATAATTATATAAAAATATATTAATATTAGATATTTGCAAGGTTGAATATAATTAATATACTAAACCTAGTAGTATCTGATATTAAACCTTCTTTCGAAAAACTTTGTTCTGCAAAACAAGCCCAAGAAATATTTAAAAATAACTAAACATAACAGCACATAATGCACATTCTTCTTCCTACTTATCACAATATACTAAAGCATAGATCAAGTAAATAATTTTTAAACCTATAATACTATTAATATAATTATTATTAGGTTCAATAATTATATCAAAACCTATTAATATTAGATATTTATAAGGTTTAATATAATTAATGTAAACCTAGTAGTATCCGATATTAAACCTTCTTTCGAAAAACTTTGTTCTGCAAAACAGGCCCAAGAAAGTCACAAATAAGTATTATTCTTATTTTTAATTTGATATTGATACTAAATATATTGAGCAGTACTGTTACAATCAATAGGTATACTTTATCTGTGCAAAGGTGTAGATTATTTTTCATTTTCTCAGAATGTATTTTATTGATATTCCTTAAGTAAATGAAAAATATTTTTTTCAATTATTATTTTCTCGCATTTTTTTTCTATACTTTATTCTCATATATATTTTTTCTAATTCTTCTCAAAAACTCACGCTCCCATTTAATTTTATCACGTCTCTCTAGATGGCGCACCCTGGAGTTTTAGAATCTTAGTTTTCTCTGCTATAAATTTGTTCATGTGCACAAAATAATTAAGATATTTTATTGTATTTTTTTAGCTTTGCCTTTTCGCCACTGCTTTTGCAGCTGATGATGAAAAAGGTATGGAAAATGCATATTTGTTATTTTTTCTAACTAAACTATATTCTCGGCACGATATGTTAAGTTCGTCGCTATGGAATTGTTCGCATTGATATTGTCTATAACCTATTCTTAAGAGAAACTAACCAGAAAGGGGCTAAATAATTTGCATCATAAATTTTTTTTAAAATTAAAGTTGGTTAAAATTAAAAGAAAAACCAGTAAGGGTAAACTATTGATATGTTGCTTTTGGACATTTTTGTTGTAAGCCTATGGAATTTTTTTTTATTGCGTAATTCAAATTTCTATCTTTTTATTCCTTAAAGATACAATATTTTTTTATACATTTGAAAACTACCGGAAATTTTATCATAGTTTAATGCTTCACTCATAAATTTTGGATAATTATTAGGAATTAAAATATTCTTAAGCCTTTTCACAAATATCTAGTAGCAGACGATAAAATAATAATGATTCTCTTTTTTATGGTTTTATGATTTTTATAAATTGGCGCGTTATTTAAATAATAGTCAATGTACGCTCTTAAGTAAAACTTATAATTCTCGTAGTTTAATAACCTATCCTAAACTATTTTTTGCCTATTTTGATCTTTAAATACTTTTAAGTTGCTGGCAACAGCTGAATCATACTGCTATAATTTTATTCTTTTTTCAATTTATGGTTATGTTACGAATCCTGATTGTAGAATATTGTTTCCATGTATAAATTTACTCCTCTTCCATCTGGAAAACCTATAGAAATACAGCTTCTTGCGAATCAGAATAATAGGGAATTTTGTTTTACATTTAAGTATTCTTAAATAATAGTGCTATATTCTAATTGAATTTGAATTGTTTTAAATGTTAAAAAGTTGCCAAACGGAGTGATAAAAAAATTATTTGATAAAACCGCTTGAAAGTGGTGTGAACAGGCTGTCGTAGCCTTAAAAATGCTAAAAGTATATTCATAAATATATTCACAAAGCCTTTTCTGTTTATATATTATGTTAAATGCAATCCAGGGTCTTGAGATTTTGGTTTTAATTCTTAGAAACATTAGCTAATTTAAATATTTTTTGAAGAGAAAGAACAAACTAAAACTGTGATAAAATAATGCCTAGAATGAAGTAGTAAATAGTAAAGAAATGTGAAAAATAAGTAAATAAAAAATTACTTTAGAAAGTAAAATATAATTAGAAAATGTAAAAATATTTCAAATGAACATGAAAAATAAATGAAATCGAATGAGTAAAAAATGAAGAAAAAGTTTGTAAACTTATGTTTAGAAGTAACAATGCTCATCATAATTAATGTAATCATGAAGACTATGCTATCTAGTTGAAATGTCAATTCGGTTAGGTGAATTGATATAAAATAAAGATTCCTTACAGCTTTTTCCAAGATATACTCTCATATCCACTAAATTTAGCTTAACGTATTGAAATTAGTGTGAACATTATATTGGAACAGAACAATATATGATATCTTTAAATATATATAGCTCAGTTCTCCATAGCATTACATTGCTTTTTGAATATCATTCCATACCATTACATTGCTTTCTGATCTCTGGTTGAGCTTATGGTCATTTTACAAATGGTTAAAATTCATTGAGAAAGTAGTCCAAATAAGTCTTAGCTTTTTGCAATGTTTTAGTATTTTTCGTTAAAAAAAAATTCTAGAAGCTGCTCTGCCAATTTAAAAATCAAATTTAAAATAATCATGTTTAGTTTACTTTTTTGCAATTTTTTTTTTGTAATTTGTTTAAGGCTTTAAAGTTTTATTGGAATTTTCTTTTTCAAACGAGCACTTTTCAAGAAAACCCTTCTAAGAATTGTTTTTGCTTCTAAGAATATATTTCCAATATTCAGTATATCGCTATTATATGAAAATCTATAACTCTTTAGATTAGAGCGCCTCGGACGAATCACAGTCAAATAATCCATCATTATTCCGTTATTAGATTAGTAAACAAATAGGAATCATTCATTTTCCCGATTCTTCAAAGAACTGTAAAGATATCTATCTTAAAAACAACAACCCAACACTAAGCATATCAAAGAAGGACTTGTTTTTATCAACGTAAATCTATAGCGTTATGTATGAATTTAAAATATATTGATACCACAAATTCTGGGCTGAATTACAAGAGTTTAGTTGACCAAATAACATATAAAACATTTTGCGATTTCTAATTTATTTTTAAAAATAAAATTTTTCAATTCATATTGGAAACGAAATTCTTGAATTAAAATTCTTTTTTATTAAGTATTAAATCAGTTGACATTCAATTAAACTTTTTTGTGTGGCCGTTTTCCACTTTTTTGCGCTATCCACTTGTGTTAAATTGTTCAGCTTTTTCTTCTTACTTTTTACATGCTTCTAGTTTTTATAATGCAGTTGTTTTCTGATTTGAATATTTATTTACAACTCCAAAGAATTTCATTTTTGGCAGTTATCCTTAAATTATGTATTTGAGGATACAGAAAACACTCCATTATATCATCTTTTTGTTTTTATATTATCTAGAGCTTGATAATTCAGTTATTATCTCAATAGCATTAGATCCGATTTATTTCTTTTTTGGGTAAATGTTCTTAAAACATATATTTTCTGAGAATAACTTTGTCAATGACTCTTGTGAACTTTTTCTTTTATGTTCACTCATTGATGTTGATCAAAAGCATATGTTGATGTTGTATTACGAATAGTTAGAGAACACCACTATGTGTCTAAGAAATAACTAGAAATCTCTTATGTAAATCATAGAATCTGTGTAGCAATTTCTAAACATTTTTTCATATGCAGAGCCTTCAGCCTGCGAGTTGGATCGTGCCCGTCGTCTGAATGCTACCCTCACCGAGAGTATCTTGCACTTGATCCCAGAATGTGAAGAAAATGGTGACTACGCCGCTCTCCAGTGCTTCACTGCCAACGACTGGTGTGTCTGCTACAGAAGAAATGGTGACAACATCAACACCCCATCCAAGAACATCAAGGCCTGCGATTGCGTCAGACAGAAGGATGATGCCATCACAGCCGGTAAGCAACCATATCTCTGCAAGAATCCGATTAATAATTTTTTTAATCGTTTTAGTAATATAACAAAATTAACTTCAAAACTTTGTTCGAAACTTGCATCTCGTTTTACATTCAAGTAACAAAACTAGACTCTTAGAAAAATTGCTTCAGAGTTGGCTCCGCAATTTAATGACCAACAATAGAATGATGGCTTTGCTGTCAGCTTTGTGCACATTTTCAAGCATCTTACACTTTCACACATTTATTGTGTATCCATTGATATAAAACTGGGTATACTTCAAGCCGCCACCAGTGATAGAATCTCCGCCTTATACAAAGACAGCTTAGTGCCTTAACCATTGTGCCATCGTGGCTTATAATAACTGTACCTTTAAATTTGTAGGTAATGTCTGTACCTTGAAATCTATAAATAATATCCGTACCTTGAAATATGTAGGTAATATCTGTACCTTAAAATCTATAGGTAATATCTGTACCTTAAAATTTGTCGGTAATAACTGTATCTTAAAACCTCTTGATAATAATTGAATACCGAAATCTGTCAGTGATATCTGTACCATGCAATTTTCAGGTAATATCTGCACCTACGAAAAGCTCAATTAGGAATGCGAACCCGGATTCCATTATACTGGAATAATATTATCATATCATGAAGTTCAATTACGAATCAAATTGCTCGATTATATAGTTAAACTTGGCTTTAAATTTAGATCGAAACAAATTTAGGTGATATTATGGTTCAATATGCTCTAAAATTTCAACTTGTTTAAATTTGTTTTCTAATTGCAAAATATGTTTCAATGATTGTAAAATATGTTTTAATAATTTAATATAATAGCTAAAAAATTTGTTATTAGATGTTGAACTTTCAGAAATTAAATCCAAGCAATTGGAAACTAAAGAATAAAATCGATTATAAAATCAAAACTTTCAGAACCGACTTCATTTTTACAACCGAATAAGATCAAAACTTTTCTGATCAAATGCCTTGAAACATTGACAAACAAATTGCTAGCTTCCATTCACCTTTAAATAACATGGCGACCATCTGCTACTAGTTTCATGTTATTCATGATAGATGGCAGCTGTAGCTTAGTCTAAAATACTATGTCCCAGTTCTGTCCGTGTTCCCGGTTCTGTTCATTTCTTCCCTACATTTGAATAATAAATTAATCTAAATTAGAAAATCTGATGAACTATTTCGGAAAAAATAGAAAGGCGATAGATAGATAATTATATATATTTTGGTATACAGGTAGGTACTTTATTGACGTCGCATTAGAACTTCACAACGGGCTATTGGCGACGGCCAGGGAAACATCCCTGAGGATGATCCGAACACATACCATCGCAATTTTGATTCTCTGCAGAAGGGTTGGCTCAACACCTCCTAGAAAGAACAGGCCTCAGCACGGGTTACCATAAATATCCCTTAGTAGTCCAAACGTAATGACATACTTTGTATTTTCAACCACTGCGCAGCTTAGTAACCCTAACGTAATGACATCTTTCTTATTTTTCGTCTACTGCGCAGTTAACTTCGTCACATCGGACTACTAAATTGATCTGTGCTGAGGCCTTTCTACTTGTAGGAGGTGTTGATTGGCTCCCCTGCTTTGGTAGCCCGACGACCTGCGAGCGGAGTCGAGAACTTTACTGTATAACAGTTTAATGAGGACCGAAACCGCACACCCTTGATCCCTACGCAGGCTGATCAAAGTGGTCACTCACCACTTACTGACCGCAACCAGTGATGCACCGTGTCTTTACAATCAGTCCACTGCGGGACGATAGATATTTTGGAAATAAGACATATTATAGGTAAAATCGTGTTAACTTCAACCAAAGAGGCTCTCATGAACAATTTGAAACTAAGTCTTAAAATTTATTAAGCTCAAAGTAAATCATTTTCATGACACGATTAATGTAGTTATTTATTTTACATTACAGGAGACACTTACATCCCCAAGTGTGACAAGAACGGATATTTCCAGAGCAAACAGTGCTCCAACGATGAATGCTGGTGCGTTGACAAGAACGGAAAGGTTCTCACCGATCCTAAGACTGGAGGCGTTGACTGCTAAATTCTTGGATGTTTAAACTATGCTTAAATAAAAGTTGTTGAGTTTTTATAGTTTCTGTTCTTTAATGCTGCATGTGTATGTTTTATCTATTTTATCACTAATTAAGTTAATTTTGTAGTTCCTGTTGTCGTTGTTATTTATTTATGTCGCACTAGATCTGTTCAATGGGCTATTGGCGACGGTCTGGGAAGCATCCCTGAGGATTATCCAAAGACATGCAGTCACAAATTTGATCCTTGGAAGACAGGAGGACACCCCCACTGCAATAGCCCGACTCCTTCCTCGCGAAATCGAGTACTTCGCGGTAGAACAGTTTAACGAGTAACAATACCGCACACTCTCGTTCTCATCACAAGCTGATCAAAGTTGTCATCCACCCTTACACTGACCACATCAGCGATGCTTGACTTCGGTGATTAGCTGAGAGCCATGTAGCGCTAAACAGATGGAATAGTTCGTTCACTAAGAGTTGGCACTTTGCTCTACCTCCTCAGACCCAGAGTTCATTTTAGTGCGAGGGTAATTGGAGAAAACGTGGAATTTGAGATAATCTTTTATGCACGTCAAACACAAACAGTGAATTTTTTTTCTCCTGTCACTTACTTAGATTTATCATCTGCTATTATACCTTTAGTTATTTCCTAGTTCAATCTATTTTTAATTTAAAAATTGCTGTTTTCACAGCATAATATCTTAAAAAGAGTAAATTATTCAGTCAAAAGAGAGAAATATAATAAATAATATCAAAATGTTTTGCGAGGATGAAGGCAGAGCTTAGTCTTCGTGTTATACTATTTTTTTTAAAATTTAATAATTATGGATGAGTTTAAGATCTGATTAAACTAAAGTAAGTGTTTTTAAATATAGTTCTTAAATAGGGTACTAGTGATATGTAAATCTCTATTTTGATCAACTGGTTCATGGTGAGGTAATTTGCAGCCTCTGGTTGCCCGAAGACTGGAGCACCTGGAGGTAGAAGCCTTTCTTAGCTCCTCAGACACCCAAGTCGTTCCTAACATGGAGAACAGACAATAGGCGCGGGTTTGGATCGGAGTTTTCCTTCTCCTAGGTATCTCTCTTAGTCTGACTCCTACCTAACGAAGACCTACCCGGCATAGGAGATCCTACCAGCTGCGCTACCACCGGCATAGCTCTGTGGGTTGCTGGAGCACGCAAGCCCACCCACCTCGTCAAGGTGAAGATACCGCAGGGGGGTATACGCAGCATCAAGACTCCTGATGCTAAATTTTCTCGCTGCCAGAGCAGCCCAGACTTCTGCTCTGTTTTCAGAAGTGAACTTCTAGCTATTAACAGGGGTGTGGAACTTGTTATACACAATGACCTTTGTTTTGAAGTTCTTTGGATACTCACTGATAGACGCTGCTCCCTACAGCACCTCAACAACTGGACCCATATGGGCGACAAAACCAGTATTTCTATCCTAAACAAATTAAAATTCTGGTCCTTACAGCATAATATTCACCTGCAGTGGATTCCTTCTCACGTCGGTCTCTATGGCAACGACTTAGCCAACAGCCTCGCTAAAGAGGGTTGCAGCCAACCTGACCTGATCTCACCTATCTCGAACTTTACTCCCTAAAAAAATCCCAGCTTCTCAGGGACTGGCTGTTTCCCCCCACCCACCATTGGTACAAAGGAAATAAGCCTGGAGTTTCTTTGACTTTTCCCTTTGAAAGGAGAGTCTGTACCACCCTCGCCCGCCTAGTTACCGGCCATCTAAAGGGTTTACTATTTTCTGAGGGAACTAAAACCTACCCACTCTGCCCTAAATGCCATCTACACCGGACTTCTACCGATCATATCCTGAACTGTCTTGGTCTTCCTTATTTAGTTGAATTTTAGTCGTAATAATATAAGAACATTTAGAAACTGTGTCTGCAGTTCAACTAAACTTATTCACTAGGACTTCAGTCATAACACCATTGAATCAATTCCTAAAAAGACCTTTACTTCATCGAAAAATCTTGTTTATTTGGATCTCAGTTATAATGACATTAAATCAATTTTTTTCAACTTCTTCACTTCGTCTCCAAAACTTATTCACTTGGACCCTCAGTAGAAGTAATATTGGATCAATTCCAAAAACTATCTTCAGTTCATCGACTAAACTTGTTCACTTGGATGTCTGTCATTGAATTCAGTTCTCAGACCAGAAGGTATCTTCACTTCATAGACTGACTTCATTTATTTTGATCTCAGTCGTAATAATATTGGATTAATTCCCAATAAGGTCTTCAATTCATCGACTAATCTCATTTACTTCGACCCAGTCATAATCTATACACAATTCCAAAGGAGGAAATTAATTCGTTAACTATTTTTATGCACTTAAGTCTCAGCTCGAAAGGAATTGAGCACATTCCAGAAAGTATTTTTGATAGTCTATATACGTTAAATTACATAGATTTAGGTAATAATAAAAAGTCATTTCTATAGTTTTTACCCTTTTCGAGCGTTTTTAACTTATCAAACAATCATATTTCTGATTTCAATGATTCAGCTTTTGCATGCATTACAAGCTAAAGGTATTTGATTATTGTTTAAAAAAATTTAAAGTTTCTAATTCAAATTATCTGCATAATTTATCTGTATCAGCTTCATCGAACAATAAAATAACAAATTTCAATGAACTTCCGATAAAAACTAAAAAGTTAAGTTTTCTAGAAATGCAATTATTTATTTAAATCTTTAAGGTTAACATTTACCTGATTCGAAATCTTAAACTTGATTACCTCACAAGCATAGACTTATCGAGAGACCATGAACTTATAGGCTTGATAAAACTTCTGGCGATAACACATTTTTAAATGAACGAGACATGCAAAACGGCATGCAAAGTTCTGACAATGCAGTTTATGTGGATATTTCAACGAATTGAAAAAAACTGTGATTGCAAGTTGTTTTTCCATTTTAAATATCTGAATAAAAATAAACTTTCAGGGGTTTACTTTTTCATAAACTTGAATAATATTAAGTGTGAAAATCCACATTCTTTGGCTGGTAGTTACAATCCCATCTCTGCCAGACTATGCATTTACTTTTCAAATTGAAAGAAGCTGTCCATGTCCATGAACATGTGGTTAACGCTGCAAAAACGATAAGTATTCATTAACTATACCAACAATCGTCTCCATTATAAAGAATCTACCAGCAAATGCACAGGGCTAAAGAGAATAGAAATGCTGGTTCACTCCTTTGAAGTAGCTCTCGCCGCTCCAATCCTCCGATTTTCTCTAGTGACGTCACTTGTCTAGTGACGTGGCTCAAAGCTCGCACTTTTACTTCAAGAACGGAGCGTTCGGCCTTACTAGCTCTAACTAATATTGGATCATTTCTTTTTGCGAGATATTCTAAGACATTTGTTATTTTCTATAATGACTTTCCTCAGTTTTTGTAGTGAATTTACAAGAATTTAAAACTATTATCGAAATGCCAGTTTGCGCGATTGCAACTTGCAAAAATTCTGATATAAAAACAAAAGGAAAAAGTATAATTTTTCGCGTGTTCCCTAAAGTAAATGAACAACTATGTAAAGAATGGATTCCGAAATGACACAGTTAATATAAAACAGCAATACGTTTATTCTGTCGTAAAGAACTTTTATAAAAATTCATTATCTAAATAGAAACCGCCTCGTTACTTCATAAAGAAAGGCAGGTGAAAAGAATTAAAAAATAGATAAAGTCAAAGAAAATTAAAATGTAAGTAAAAAGTATAAATAAAATATATAGTATATAGTTGAAATTCTCCTAATTTCATAACATATTTTTTAATGTAGTTATTCTAAATATTTATGATTTTTTTTAAAAATTATATTCTCTTCAATTTAAATATCTATAAATTATATCATCGTAAATTTAAATGTCTATAAACAATTGTAAAATTTCTAATGTCATTATGAACCTAAATTATTATTTTGTTTCAGTAATTAGCGTTTAAGGTTGATGTTTCCTAATGATTAAGTATGAACAAATTGCTATTAACGACATATTTTAAAATCAGGGATTCTAAATTTAACTTAACTTATCGTTATAAAAGAATATGTAGATAAAAAAAGTGTCGATATATGCCTTCATTTTTCTTAATAGTTAAAGTTAAAACTGAACTTTTTAAAATAAAGTATTTATCGTGTCATTTTCACCAACTAGCAAAACATTTTTATAAGTTTAAAATGGTATTTTTTTTAATATAATAACCAAGAAAGTTTTTTTTGAACTATGTTTATGAACGGAAATAATGTGTTAATTACGTAAAGTTTGAAGGCTAATAACCAGAAAAAGTCTAACTTATTTTTACAAAGAGAAAGATGCAAAGTTATCATAATATCTTTGCTTGCGATCTTCGAGATCTGTGGACACAGTGACGTCATGAGGAGGGAAATCGTAGCTTCAGCTCTAACATGAGCGGAGTTAACTAGCCCTTCTATTCTCTTTAGCCCTGGTGTCAGTTACTCGCTGTGTCTTCGAATATTACAGCCTATGAATGAGATGCTGAAATCTTGATGTTAGAGTCTTCGTTGATTTCTGTCCAACAAACACGTGTAACGACCTAATGCATTATTCAAATGTTTATCGATCTATGTTGAATTTCACTATAATGAAAATTAAAGTATCCGATTTTAAAGATATGGCTATTAATGTTGATCTTACTCTCTTGCATGTACTACATATTTATCATAATGTATTTAATGAAAATATTTCGAAGAATATAATTATTTTTCCAGAACTATTAAAAAAATTACTTTAAACAAATAATAACATCGACTTTTATTTGAAAATATATTTGATGAAATTAAATTTTTAAACAATTTAGATTTGTTTGAAAATTCATAAAATGAAATCAAACGTGAGTATTTCACATGGATCACAAGCATAACCAATTTGAACTTATTTCGCAATCAATTATCTTTTCTATTATCAGTTACTTTTTTCGATCTTAGTTCATTTCACAGTTTTAAATATCTCTTCCAACGCATTCAAATTGTTATTTCAAGGAATTGGATACATACTTGCTAAAATATTCATCTCTT